AACGGGCGGGAAAGGCGGGAAAAGGAGCCGGGAATTCCGCGGGATCGGCACCGGGAAAGGCGGGAAAAGGAGCCGGGAATTCCGCGGGATCGGCACCGGGAAAGGCGGGAAGAGGAGCCGGGAATTCCCCGGGAATTCCGCAGCCGCGCGCCCCGAGCCGAGGTGGGACCGGGGGGCTCTTCCTGGGATTCCCCCAAAACCTGGGGTCCCCCATTCCCAAATCGGGGCCATCCCGAGCTGAGATCCCAAATTCCCGCGCTGGGATCCCAAATTCCCGCGCTGAGATCCCAAATTCCCGCGCTGGAATCCCAAATTCCCGAGCTGAGATCCCAAATTCCCGCGCTGGAATCCCAAATTCCCGCGCTGGGATCCCAAATTCCCGCGCTGGGATCCCCTGGGATCCTCCAGGTTGGGATCCCTCCGATCCAGAACCCCCCAATTCCCGACTCTGGGACCTCCCAGATCCTGGGGCTCTCCGAATTCCCAAATCCAGGATCCCGCAATTCCCGAATCCGGGATTTCCCCAGATCCCAAATCCAATTTACGACCCCCAATTCCTGAATGTGGGATCTTCCCAATTCCCAAATCCAGGAACCCGCAATTCCCGAATCCGGGAGTTCTTCAATTCCCAAATCCGGGACTATTCCAATTCCCAAATCCCGGGTTTCTCCATTTCCTAAATCCGGGAACCCCCAGTTCCCAGATCCAGGAACCCTCAATTCCCGAATCCAGGATCTCCTGAACCCCCAAATCCGGAACCTCCCCAATTCCCAGATCCAGGATCTCCTCAATTCCCAAATCTGGGATCTCCCCAATTCCCAAATCCGGGATCTCCCGGTGCCATTGGGATCCCTCCAAGTCCCCTCGTGCTCCGCAGGACCGGGATCCGGGATCCAGGATCGGGATCCAGGATCGGGATCAGCACCAGGGTCAAGATCGGCATCAGGATCTGAATCCAGCACCGGGATTGGGATCAGGATCTGGGATCGGGATCCAGGACTGGGATCCGGGATTGGGATCAGCACCGGGATCTGAATCCAGGATCGGGATCAGCACCGGGATCGGGATCCAGGATCAGGATCAGCACCGGGATCCAGCACCGGGATCGGGATCCAGGACCGTGATCCGGGATCGGGATCCGGGATCGCTCCATGGCCTCGCTCCGCTCCCCGTCCCCCCCGTCCCGCGGGGCTGAGGAGGGTGAGCAAATCCCGGGATGTTCCCGCCAGCCTTTTCCCGGGAAAATCCCGGAGATTCCCGGGAAAACTCTGCCAGCCCCTCCCCCCTCCCCTCCCT